AGAACATCACATTTAGTGATATGCCAATTAAATACTTGCCACAAATCATATGACCAATTAAAGTATGTGACATGTTAGTACAGACTTGATCATGGATATATATATATATATATATATATATCAAACAGCAAAAATTTATATTTTTTCTTTTTTTAAAAAAAAAAAAAAAAAGTGGCCAGTCAAGTTGAAAATAAAGAGACCTTGTCCTTTGTTTAACCTTTCTCTATTCAATATTTGAATAAACAAAGCAACAGGAGAGCTACTATTTCTAATGGGTCATCGCATACAACAGGTATTATTACAATATAAAATTTCTATTCAGCATGAGAAACATTTAGGTGAGAATAGCAATCAAGAAATAAAAATAAAAAAAACAAAATATACCATTATTCAAAGTTTAGTTTTTCTTAGAAAAACATTTTTAATAAATTAAAAACAATCTTAGAATTTTGATACAGTGATGAACATAATGAAAGGAAAAAAATGTATTTCTGGAAGGTTGATATCCCAGTAATCTTAGCTTATGTCAAAGTTTATTAGAAGTTTAAGAGTAAAATCTTCCATAACCACATGGCAAAAGCATATATTCAATTATTGGAAATTGAGGTAAGTTATTAGGGTTGGAAAATAATGTCCAATTTTATATTAAACCATTTGTATTCTATTATACTAATATAATAATAATTGCACAAAAATATCACTCATTCCTAATGATTAAAGTGCCCTCTGTGTTAATTTTATATCTGTTAGCAGGGATTCTAACTTGCTCCCCCTATAAAGGGACTATAACTCATAATATGATCGAGTTACTTCCCTTGTCCACCATATATAAATGTTCAGGTTTCTATTTTTACCAATTTAAACACTTTAAAATCAATTTAGAAATAAAAGTCGATTCTTTAGTCAGACGACCTAATAAAACAAACATTGACTTCAGAGCAATATGAAGATTGTTAGCTCTTTCTAGCTTCATTATTTTATTTAAATTTTAATACTTAAAAATATCAACACAAATAATTAGAAAAATAGCATTAGTTAAAAGCTTCACATATTACCTTCCTTACAAAATAGTTTTTTTTCACCACATGGTTGCTGTGCCATCCACCATGTTGGGATGAGTAGATCTGTGAGAAATTTGTCAAGGGAATAGCCGAGCTGTTAGACCAATATGGCAGAAGTTGTCTAAAGTTTCACCTACCTATTAAACCAGATGAGCAGGCAAAGCCCTGAATAAAACACCTACATGTAATAATATAGGGAAGTAGAATTTGCATTCTTATTTCTCAATGTAGTGTTCGTCTTTCATCTTGTTACCTTGTGAGCATACAGCAGGCCTTTTTGCAGCTTTTGGTGCACACTGACAACATTAAGAAATGAAATGCAATGTGGGATAATGCTTGGGGTGAGGCTCACATAGTTTTACAAAATAATTAAATTTGCTTTTGTGATATAAAGTTTCGTGAAAGTAGGACAAGTTCTTGTTTTCATAAAAAAATTTTTTTTTAAATTTATGTGCAAGAACATAAAAACAAAATGTTTTTGTTATCCTCTGCCAGTCATAATGATGGAAAAAAACATTACCACACACCATCACCAGTGAGACATGCTGCAAGAGCCACTCGGTTTCATGAAGCTCATCCCTTAATCGAGATGCCATCCCACCAACCCTCCAAAAGAATGTCATCAAATGAGGGCCAATAACCCCAGATGTCCCCACTGCCACAGGAGAACTAATTTTTTTTTTTTTTTTTTTATCTCCGCATCCCGAGTGACAGACCCTGGCTCAAACGCAAACCTGATCAAATTACCGGTCGAAAATGTATCAGCACAGGCTGGATCCTAAATCAATAACTTCACCATTTTAAAAAGGTGAATGGTAACGCTATTTGGCCGCTTTCCATCACCACGGTCAAGGCCTACATGTTCGATTTGGGAAGGGAACTCAGCTGCATCCAGACCTCTTCTGATGTCATTTATTGCTGCACGCCTTGGAAAGTGGCTTGCACTACAACAATAAGAGAGAGGATGCAAACCAAACTCATCAATGGAAGCTCCAAATCTGCATCTGTGATGTTCATATAATTTGAGTCTAAGACAGTGAACTTGTCATCAAGAAGGGTAACGGTAAAAGAACAGTGCACTGCATTGAGCCAGGCACCACTACTCAGTTATGAAGCAGCTAGTAGACAGGCAAGGTGGTGTCGATCCAAAGAGAGCCTCAAATTAGTAAAATAAAAACAAATAACATAAAAAATATAAAGTCAGTAGAAACAAACAATATCACAACAATGGAATTATTAAAATAGAATCAGGGATTTATTTGAAGACCAATTAACAATAATAGACATTGGAAACTTAAAGAAAAAAATGCACAAAATTTCAAGTAAAGCAATGAAAGACTAAATATTTACCATAAAGATTTAAAGGCAATCTTATTTACAACAAATAAGTTTTACAAAGATAACTGACTTACTGAAGCTTAAATATCTATAAAACATTTTTGTAAATTTGCAATAAATAAAGTAGTTTTACATGAAATTGATAAATACTGATTTCTGAGTTTATAAACTTTTCATTAGCTTTTAATTCAACACAAACTTTTTTTCTAAGACTTAAGTAGTATAGATTAGAAATACACAAGTTACCATCAAAATTTGAATTTGGAACCAGTCATATTCTAAAATTCAAGAATAATGAAAATGTTCCATTTTCAAAGTTCAGACACCTTAAGAGTAAAAGAAAAACACATGTACAATTTGGGGGACATGGGGAGAGGATTAATGAAATAACTAGAAACTTATGTGAAAAGAAAAATCTTTTCTATCAGTTAAAAAAAAAAAAAAAAAAAAAAAACACACCAATTTTAATATATGCAAGCTATCTTTTAAAAACTCCAGTATTAATATAGTATTGACAGTGGTGATATTAAACACAATCACATCTATTGTCTCCACCCCGCCTTCCAAACCAAAAGGGAGTTTTAGAAGATCAGAGAAAGTAAGTATCAAGAATCAAATAGAAAGAAAGTTTCATTAATGAATCACATGCAAACATGATACTCAGTCATCAAAACAAATGCACAAATAGTTAAAGAAAGAAAGTTTTATTGATTGTGCTTAACAGATTTGATAAATCACAGATGACAAGTTTTTAAGACATCTTAAGAGAATAAAAATAATACTGATAAAAGGACAAACAAATATAACAAAAGCCACAGATAATTTTGATTTCTAACAATTAATAGCATAAATGAAACCAGGCCAAAATTTTTAAATAAAAGCTACTGATTTCAAGTAAACATATAGTGAAGTAATCAAATGTTTAGATTACTTATGAATCATTACACTGCTTTGATGTGATTGGCACATGAAATCTTAACAGTATGAACAAGTGGAGTGAATCAGGACACAAGTTAGTTTTACTTCTATTAAATACTGACAGTTCATTGAAAACATGTGAAAGAAAAAAAAATGTTAAAGTTAAAAAAAAAAAAAAAAAAAAAAAAAAAAATGGTCCCAGGTGTTGACATCTGCTGAATGGTAAAAAGATTCAATATACAACACATAAAAGACTATATTCTGTTACTGTATAGACAACCAGACAGACATTCATGCAAGAAATCAATGGACCAGATTAGAATTTATTTTAAAGTTCAAATGATCCACTCACAGATTGTTCAATTTTTTTTTTGTCATTGTGTATGCCTAAAAAACAAGACTTCTTATCCATATTGCTTACAAAGAATTTTTTTTTTTTTTTTTTTTTTTTAAATAGTTAATATTCTGACTGTCCCTAGTGGTCCATCTGATGAGATCCTAATAAAGTTAATCTGGATCTAACATTACAAGGGATTTATTAAGCAAGAATGGACAAGTCTAGTAGGAACATTGGCAACAATTAATTGTATTGAAGATTCTTTATATATATATATATATATATATATATAAATAAATAAATAAATAAATAAAAAGGTATATGTCCATTCAGCAATTTTCTGAGAGCAAAGAGAAATCGTGTATTGAAAGGACGAGTAACATCATCCAAATCAAAATAATGAAACTGTTCTGTAGTTTAATTTTAAAGCATCAACTAATTGGTTAACAAATAGTTAATGCTGCTCATTCCTGCAAATAATAAAATTAACCAAGATTCATAGAAATTAAAAGAATAAGAGGAAAAAAAAAATAATTTTTAAATAATTTTTTTTATAAAAAAAAAATTTCTAAGAAATGCAGGAACCTTGCAAAATTTAAAGTCAAAAAGTTTGTTTTTGTTTTGTTTTTTTTTTACAAAGAATTTCACAAATGCATTCATTTAGTTTTCTGAATAGTTCTGATTTTTTATAAAATCTGTTGAAAGAAAATATCCTCAGCAACTTTGAAATGAAAAGGGGTACAAAGACCTTAAAACTGCCTAAAATCTGGCAAGTGCAGAATGCATTCTAATAAGAATCTTGCTTCAATTTGGAAGATAAAGAATCCAACATTAAGGCCTCAGCATAACTCCAAATTACATTTTAGTATTTAAAACTTTTTTCCTCCACCTTGATATAAGTTTACAGGATTTTATTTACAAATAAATAAGTAAATATATATATATATATATATATATATATATATATATATATATCTCCCCTTAGTGGTTTAACAAGGTTTAAATCAAATAAAATTAAAACTGTATATAAAGACTGAAAAGAAAACATTAATTTAGAAAATAATGGTGAAAGAGAGAAAAAAAAAAATAAAAAAAACGGGCCCAGATTTGAAGGAAAATATCGTCTAAATTATTGTTGAATTTGTAATCATGGGAGTCAACAGTTGCTTATTTCTCCATCATCAGCATCCAATTATTATGGCTGTTTTTAAAAAGTAATAGTGTTGTTGCAATGCCCTGTTGGACATGAAACTAGCAGAAAGTGGATTGTTGATGTCCTTTTCAAAAGAAGAGTGTCAGCAAGAAAAAAAAAAAAAAAAAAAAAAAGAAAGGCTGACAAACACGCATTAATCACCTTGGGCATGCCCAACAATAGTCAGTATGAACATGAAGAGTTGAACAATGTCCAAATAAAGGTTGAGAGCAGCAAAGATGTATTCTTCTGGTGATAGTGAATATTTATGTCTGCCTCCAATCATAAGCTGTGTGTCAAATACCAAATACTGGAAAAAGAAAGAAAAGAAATTTAGAAAATTGTATTCAAATCATTCTTTAAATCAGTAACCGATCACAAGAATGTAGTATTAGCCTTCCAGCATTGCCCACAACCAAAAATAAACTTTTTATCACTTTTTTGGAACATGACAGGTTTATATTCAGAAATAATGTATAAAAGATTTATCACAAGTTTTTACTGATAAGCAATGCTTATGAATTTGAACAGAATTTTGTTTTTCTTTCTTAATGTCTGATTTTTGTAAAATTATTTTGTTCAAGTAAATTGTGCTCTCATTTGTGGTTTATCAGTTTTTCAGACTAAAATGGTTCACAAATTTCATTGATCTGCATTTTAAATTTTTTTTTTAAAATAATCAATTCACCACAAGCAAGGCAATAACACCAAGTTGCAAAGAGCTACTGTGAGTGAAAGAGAATGAAAAGACAAGAAACAGGGAACATTGGGATAAACCTCTACTCCTGTTCAAAAGACCAAGGAATAGTGTGAACCAAACAATACAAAACTTATCTACTCCTATTTTGATTTGGCTTAGGAAGAAGAAGTTTCAACTGCAATTGACAAAATGTCCACATATCAAAGAGAGTGGAGATTTTCATGTCAAGCAAATATCAAGCAATTGTTCAGATGAGCTCTTCATTATGTTAACGAGGCTTTATGAATTTAAATTTAATACTAGATTGGCAGCAAGGTCTCATCAATTCAGTTGAATTGATGAGATGTAACCATTAAGTTCTATGCTAACAGTTTCTTTTCTCACACTTTGCATGTAGAACTTTCTTTTGGCTTCTTGCTTCCCCATCAACTTTGAACTTCAAAAATTCAAATGCAATGTCTATTATCTTTTTGACTACTTCAAATGCAATGTCTATTGTCTTTTTGACTACTTTTCTATTGTTCTCCCTACTTCAATTTACACTATTTACATTGTTGTCCTCACCTTTATTGTCATATTCACAACGTTTTGCCTGTTGTATGCTCCAACCTTCTTTAGGTGATATACATTGGAATTTTGAACCAAACCCTTCTAGTCCACTGAGATAGATTGTTCTCATTCCACATCTTTTCTGGATATCTCGGTTTCAGTTATTTCCCTTTAATAACTAAACTCCAAGTATTGAACTCAACTCTTTCAGTCAAGTCAGTTGATTACTTCAACCAACACTTTTATCTACTAGGCCATGAAATTGCAACGTATATCACCTGAAGAAGGCCAGAGTGTACAACAGCTGAAATGTGAATATGACAATAAAGAGGAGTACAACAGTCCAAACAATGTAAATAGTGTAGTTACAATACTTCATCTCGGAAATATAAACAGATGTCCCTTAATAATTTTTCTTATTCTTTCACACTCAGTAATCTCTTATGTCTTAGTAGCTTAAAAGAAAAAATAAAGAAATAGATAAAAAATAAAATAAAAAGTCACATTTAAATTTAATAAATAGAGTTTAGTTATGAACAGATTGCTTTTTCTGTATAAAGCAGAAACAGCCTTTTTTTCCAATAACATTCTGACAATTTAAAAAGTGCACGTTGATACAATAATTATCATAAATTATTTAAGACACTAAATGCCATCTAATGACTTAACCAACAAACTAAAATTTAGATGCCAGCAAAAGATTTTAACATCATACAAGTAAAACCAATTATTTTTGTTACATATTTTTTGGAAGAGAAATTTGATACAAATTTTAACTTACAGCACTAAAGAGTAAAGCTCCCAATGCAGAATAAGCCAAAGTAGCATACTGAAAAAGAAAAAAATTTAAATACAATATTAGCAACTAGTATTTTAGGCATATAATATCCATTCATTTGCTAATAGTAATACTCCAGTAATTTAAATTTAATTTTTAGCCCAGAACAAATTCAGAGTAGAATACAATGCTATATAGCGTTGCAATGAGTTTGCAGGTATCCTACAAACATTAAAAATTCTGCATTTTATACAGATTTCAACACAAATACCAGTGATGAATATATATAATCAACAGCTATGGAGGGGGGGGCAAAACTTATACAAACACTACCCAGATTGGTCTTTCTTTAAAATGAAAAAAAAAGCACAATGTAAATGTTTGACTTGATAGATTCATTCTCTACAGCTTACCAACCCTTTGCAGGTTATTTAAAACCAGAAAATATTTAGCTTGTTAAAAGAAGAAAAAAAAATTGTTTGAAATAATTTAATGATACAAGTCTTACTAATTAACCCATAACTGAGGGGAGAAGAGATGGATTCATACTTTGCCCAAGTGTATTTGTGTCTAAGTGAATATAATGAATCCAACTGGAATTTGAACTCTGCTCTCCAATTAACAATTCTGAGCCATTATCCATTACACCACCCACACAGCATCTGGTATTCCCAAGTGGTCACCCATCTAGATACTGACCAGTCACGATGTTAGTTAACTTCAATGATCGTATGGAAATCAGTGTTTCAATGCAATGTGGACATAAAACACAATGAAATGTCAAAATTATTGAAAAGGTGGTTTTTATAATGTAAAAATCTATTTGTATAATTTACGTGATTTTTAAACAAAGCTGAAATTCTGATAAAAAACCTTTCACTGTTTATGTCACAAGTATTTAAGCTAAAATTGTGTGTACATAAAACAAGTGGACAAAATACAAAAATCAAACATATTTTCATCTACAAAAAGCAAAAAGTCAGACTTACTTTGTTTTGAATGATGGCACAAAGGATCCCAAAGCAAAACAAAACAATGACAAAGACAAAAAGCATTCCTCCCCAGGCAGTGAAATCCCACTGAAATAAATAAAATAAAAAAAAAAAAAAAATAAAAAAAAATGTTGAAACTCACTAATTGTTGTACATAATGGAAAAAAGGAATTTGGGAGATTAATACAGAATCAACAAGTTGGTTGGTTGGTTGGTTTTGTTTAGCAGCATATCAACACCTCTATAGGATATTTAATGCCAAAATTAATTTTTTTTTCTTTTTTTCTTTTTACACAATTTTATTTTTTTTGAGATAATGGTTTTAGTAATACAAGTTTTATTAACCCTTAGATGGGGGATAATAGATGGATTCATACTTTTCCTAATGGTATTTGCACATAAATGATTATAACAAGCCAACTGGAACTCGGCTCACTAATTTACAATTCCAAGCAATTATCCATTACACCATTCGCACATCCAAACTTACGGCATCTGGTATTCCCAAGTGGTCACCCATCTAGGTACTGACCAAGCTCAACATTGCTTAATTTTGATCATATGGGAACAGAATCAACAAGAAAGTCTCTTATTGTAGCATATGAGGAACAAGTGCATAAAAATCAGGCTTCTAAAATATTAATGGGACATTAAAAAGAAAAAATATTTTTCCAAGTTGATTGAATGACTTAATACAAAATTAAGCAATATTGATCTTTGTATTCCGATTTGAACTGATCTAGAAGAATGTTTTTTTTTTTTTTTACTTTAATAAGAAACAAATTTTGAGCCATTTACAGAATGAAAACCCTTAACAAGGGAAATAACCCAAACAAGCCCATTAATCTTGCAAGCAAAACAGAAATACTAAAATATTACCTACTAGGATTTCATTATGTAGTTTACAACTTGTTAAAATTAATTTCATTGAACTATTTTCAACTAATAATTTAGTTCATCTTTTAATACAGAGACAGCAATGTCAAGACAAAAATATAAAGCTAACAACAAAAATTTCTTACTTTCGTTTGAAATGCAAACAGCGTCAATGATGCTGCCACAACCTGCAATAAAAGAATTACACTAAAATTGAAACATTTGTGTGATAATTGTTTTTTCTTTTCATTAGTGATTAGCAACATTTCACCTATGTAATCTTCAGGTGCATGTTGTATAGCTGTTTATTTTTAGAGTTGCTTAATGTTTTTCCATTCTCAAAATAAAAGTGGAATTAAAAATACGAAAAACATACACTAACCAGTTCAACAAAGATACTGGAGTGAAAGAAAATCCCATTTAACTAGTACTTTTAGAATTTAATAGAAAAATTAGCAGTTTAGAAAGTACTCTTGGTTTTGTTATTTTTATGATTCCATTTAAACAATTATACAAACAGCCCCCACATCATTTTCTTCAATCAGTCCAGCATCAGATTGGATGACATCTTACAAAATATGAAAAGATAACAGAAAATAAACTTATAAATAAAGCTATCTGAAGTAACAAATAAATAAAGTACAATAACAAAAAGAAATTTATTGTCAATTTGAATTTTTCTACATTTGTAGAAATTATTCTAGAAGGAAAATAGTATATAATTTGTTGACAGAATTAATTATTAATTTGTTCATATGAAAATTCTTTTAAAAATAATACTGGATTAAAAGATAGAGAAACACTTTCTATATAGATAGAAAATTTTTATTACATTTAAGAATGGGTGTGGAGGCTCCCCCATTCCAGAGTAAAAGCAATAAAAAGTATTCAAAAATATTTTTTCTTACCGCAGTTATACCAACAGCAATAATTACAGCATCTTGTTCATAGTTGCTGAAATGAAGGGGGGAAAAATATCGCATTGTAGAAAATATAAAAACAGTAATGTTTACTTTACCATATCTACAAAAATATTTAAAAATGAGGTAAAATAAATTATCCATTATATGTGAATTTCATAACATCATTATTAAACAAAGCAATAAAATTTAGACACTGATAATCAGAGAAATTAAAATTGATTACTTATTTCAGTTCATCATTTTACTTAAAATTATTGCCACATGATGCAAGCAAAAGTCAGTACATTACCTAAACAAATTAGTCAAAGAATCAAAAGCATCTTTATAATTATGTGTCACTTATATTATTGTTAACTAAGACTTTTTATATTTACATAAGTAGTGAAATAATCGTTCTAAGTAATGTGGTTAATTGAAATAAGTGCTGTGTAAAGTTTATTTACCTGGAAATTGCTCCCAACAGGAATCCTTCACAGAGTGTCTAAGTTTTTGGAAAAAATAAAATATTTTTTTTTAAATTGCAGTCTAAACTTAATACTAAGATTTTAATGAATAATTACTACCTAATTATAACCATTAACAGAAAATGTTTAATAATGTTAAACAAGTAATGTCTTCACTTTCAAATTTATGCACCAATCCACATTAAAATTTTTGAAACCAAAACAAAAATCACTTTAAATATCAACTTGTTATTTTCAAAAATCATTTTGACATTCTCTTAAATAATTTTTCATATGCATTCATAAATTAGTTCTTAACTTTAAGATCATTTGATTATGAAGATCATTTCCATCAAATAATGACAATAATAATAACAAAAACAACAATGACAATAATGAAAACAATAATAAGTACATAAAAGTAATTGAGATATGAAGGAGTATATAAAAATAATAGTAGCAACTCTAAAGATACGTTTGGCTATTTTGATTTTGCTCAGGTGAAGGTTTGTATATTCAAAACATGGTTCAACCCATTCTGTTGCCATTCATGTAACAAAGAAGTAATTTGCTGTTTCAACAGGATAATGCCAACCTACATGATACCCATGCTACTCACAAAACTGAAAAATGTTCTTTAACTAACCCTGACCAATTTGTTTAGCATACCTACAATTCTGGATGTATTACATCAACAAGAGGCACAGAAAAATGTATCACAAGATTCACTATCTGGACAATTATACAGGCCTATATTCATGCCCAAGGAGGGACATACAGTGTATTAATGGGAGGAAGGGGCCTAAGTAGAGTTGATACAAAACTCATGTGTCTTCATTTACCATAATTCAGCTATATTAAGTGTTCTCTTATTTTTGTGTAAAGCCAAACATTTTTTCCATCAGTGTGTAGAAATGGACATGTGCAAAGCATAAGAAGTGGAATTGGTGTGCAAATTTTCAGTGTTCACTTTCATACAAATATCCCTAAAGAAAAAAAAAAAAAAAAAAAAAAAAAAAAAAAAAAAAGCTATGAATCCACTCCTCTACACACACATCACCAGTTAAATAGCAAAGCCAGACTGGGTTCTCTAAATTTGGTTAGCAACTCATCTAGAAGGACTAATGAATTTAAAACCAGTTGGGGGGAGAGGCTAGCAACTCCACCTTGTAAAAACTTACTTGCTACAGAAACCACAGCAGCAACACTTAGTATGATGAGGCAGTGCCCCTACATGTCAGAAAGAGGTTATTCCCCACCCACAGTTATATATATATATATATATATATATATTATTTTTATTTAATGATAATAATAAAGAGAGTTCATTACCTAAATACTATTTTTAGTGGATACCCATATTTGAGTAGATGCTCATTTATTTAATAAACAGTACATTTATTTTCTGAATATTTCCTATTAAAGAAAAAAAAAAAAAAAAAAAAATGCTCTCCAGCTGGATTCAAACCTGCGTCCCCCTATTTCTCAACTATTCAGGCCAATAGACGAAATAAAATATACTGTTTAATAAATAAGTGGAATGTGTACTCAAATATGGGTATCCACTAAAAAAGTAATATATATATATATATATATATATATATATATATATATATATATATATATATATATATGTGTGTGTGTGTGTGTGTGTGTGATAAAAGTTTGTGTAAGTTAACCAAAATATTTAGGGTTATGAACACTAATATCAAATAACTTACTATTTAATCTCTTCAAACAAAAGTTAATTTTTCTAAGCAGCATATTTTAAATTCTGATGAGTGTATATTTTACAAGTTATTTATACAAGCATCAACTTTATTTTCATTATCTCCACCATTGTACATCAATGTATCCAAAACATCACCTTTTTTAAATCCATTAGAAATAAATAAAAACAAAACTAATTAACAAAGAAACACATCTAGAATTTTTTTAACTGTGTGTGTGTGTGTGTGTGTGTGTGTGTGTGTGTGTGTGTGTGTGTGTGTGTGTGTGTGTGTGTGTATATATACTTAAGATGCCAATGTGACAAATACTTACAAATGCAACAAGAACAATGAAGTTGACAGGAAACTGACGTCGTACATCTGGACAGCAAGCCAACACAATGAGTGTAACCAGCATCATAACACTAGACAAAAAAAATATTTTATACTGGTTTGAAAAATATATATTTTTATGTTTTAACTAGAATAAAGCTTTAAAGTGAGAAGCAAACTGAAAAACACTTACCACTAACAATTTCATTGCTTATTTATCTGCATTTGCTTATTAAATTATTCATGAGACTTTATAGTGCATAATGGTCATAAATTCCATCAACTGAGAACAGAATGTTTCAACATTATTCTAAGACTTCTAGAATCTTCAATACATTAATAGAAAAAGCTAAGTACTTACAGGGCCAGATACCACATCCATGGATTTTGTTGAGAATATAATTTCACAGAATCACTGAAAAGAAAAGTAACTGATTTAAATATCAGACATTTATTTAAAAAGTTAAATTGATTTGAAAACTATCTGACCACATTTTGATAAGAGTTAAAATTAATTATAACTGACATTACAAATAGAATTGTAGTCTAAGATATGCAAAGATCATTTACCAGGAATTGAAGAATTCTCAGTTTGTCCAAGAATCTTTTATTTGGTCATTTTTGGAAGTGGGTCAAATCAAAGTTAAGAACTTTTACCCCACCCCACCACTTAAGTTAAAGGGTAACCTTTTTATTTTTTAATCATTTCACCTCAAGCAAGGCAATAATGCTACTAAGACACAGTAGATTTACTGAGAGTAGAAGAGAATGAGGAGACTTTTAGTGAGGAGAAAGGACTATATATATATATATATATATATATATATATATATATATATATATATATATATTTAAGGTATATTATATTTATGGATCAAAGTAATAAATAGAGCATAGTTTTTGGACACTGGTATATTAAGCAGCAACAGTATTTATGGATAAAACTGCAGACCATGTCTGTATAAACAACTTAAAAATATGGCATGAAGATTGTATTTAAGCAAACTATGTAAATATAAAATTGAAAAAAAAAAAAAAAAGTAGACACCCCCAATTTGAACGCATATTTGATAAGTTTGAAGTTACTTACACATAGAAAAAAGTGCAATAATTCCAACTGTAACCAATAGTTGAAGTAAGAATGCCATAGACCTTTCATAAAAACCTGAAATTATAATTCAACATTACAAATAAAACAATATCAATTCTCTTAGTTTTATGTTAAGGAGAAATTAGCATGCAAAGAATTTTTTTAAGATTAAAAGTTAAAGTGAAAATTAAGAAATTTCCTTAGTGATATTCAATATCAAATTTCCTAATTTATTACATAATTATATGCATAACATGTGGGATTTAAAACTTATATACTAAAGAAAAACAAAAAGGCAAGCAGTTTTATTTGTGGCTTTCAGTTTTTTTAATAAAGCAGGAACCATGCAAAAATGTAAACTGAAGAAAGATCACCAAGAAAACTAAGTCAAATATATATGAAGTACTTCTCATATTATGTATAAATAAAAAACCTAAGGTCAACAATATCTTTTTTAAAAGATACAGATTTTGTAAAGTTGGTACCAGCACTAATTTGGAAAAGGTTTAAAATGAATTTTTAAAAAATGAAAAACAGAGTTTTTGCCCAATTGAAAGCTAAAGGATTTGAAATTTATTGATTCAGAACAGATTTTCACTTTGGTCTGATTTTACAAAAAGAAATTTGTTTAAATTCTTCAAAGAATTCTGCTTTTTAACATAGTCACTAAAAATTATTGTGTAGCAATAAAATAAAATAAGGGGAGAAACATATGTAAAATCAAAAATATTTTTACAAAGATTTTCTAATGAAAAAAATTTCATTTGCAAATAAGTCCTGAAAACTTCATTAATCCAACAATTATTTGATTTTTACAAGAATTTTCCAAATTAAGAACTGCAAAATGAGACTAAAATTTGTTATGCTAAAAGTTAGTAAACTGACACAAGAAAAACCTAAGAAGGAGTTTTAATTAAATATTCAAAAATACTCTGATCCTTCCTCTTAAAAAGATTTTGATGATAAAACTAAGTCTTCATTATGTTTGGAGCCTATTTTCATCACAGTATGCTGATTTTTCAGCGATTTTGTGGAGGTACCTACTGTAAAGCTAATGTAAATAATATCAATATACCAAAAATCATGGAATAACATTAAGAGAAGTTCATGGCAAACCACCATATCATTTTTGAGTCAGTGTGAACACTGGCTAGGCTTTGGAAAGGCAAGATGATTTATCAGATGTTGAATGGAGCATGATGGCAGGTGCTAGATGAATAGCAGATTCCATTTCTCAAATATGTGAACATTTTCCATTCTTTGAATTACAGTATCAAATACCATTAATACCTGATAGTACTAGTTGCTACCTACTGAGAGCACAATGGCTAAACATTATCCCTAATGATCTTGACCAGATGAGTTTGGTTAGGAATTTAAAAAATCACACCCAATACAAGAGGACAGTATTATTGAACAGGGCAGTTCAGCATTCTTTAATAGGATACAAGAACTAAAAGGCAAGTTATCTGTTAACATAAATATTAATTGGACTCTGAAGGGAAAAACAAATTATTATTCAGGTTGGACTGAGGGTAGGGTTGAAGTGTTGTGCAGACACAATGGATCCTATTTATCAACAAGGAACTATGCAGGTTGTGAGATGTTACATTCTTATCACATGGGTTAGATTCTCTGAAGCAAATCATTGACTGGTGACTGCTAAGTTTCACTGGTTCATAATCATTTGCATCTGATTATTCCAGTATGATGAAGAAATTTGTCATTAATCTAAATTTACCCAGAGCCTAAAGAGCTTTGGGAAAACTTCTGACAAATGATCTGGCCACGACATTCACCCAATTGAGCAATTATAGGATGCACCAGAGAAAGTATATTTGTACAAGATGCCTCAAATGTCAGGGAAACGTGAAAAAGTTATTGAGGTGGTATAGCTCAATGTCTCTGTAGAGGTCTTCAGACCATTTGTGAAATTAATGCCAAGTTCAGTCATTACACTTTGCCAAGCTGAAGGGCATCCTACACAATACTTAACACATCAAAAAAAAAAAAAAAAAAAAAATATATTGTTGAAAAGTTGTTGCCAAAAGAAAAAAAAAAGATTTAATGTCAAAGAAATACATTGAAGTTAAAATGATCCAAAATAATAAGAAAGGAAAGAAATTTTCAGTTTGCAAAATCTTAAATGTTACTCTAACAAAGTAAAAATGAAAAACCAGTCAAACTTATCTGTCTCCCCCACCAAAAAATAATTTAATGTTATACATTCTATATGTACAAAATTTAATATAAATTTTAAGACAAATTCAGTTAAAGCAAGAAAGGGATCATAAAATAATTGATATACACATGAAAGACATAAACATTAATTTTTCAGTTGTGTGTGAGTGAAAGAATCCTTTTTCTCTCTCAATATAGCAAAAGATTTACTTACCAAGACGAATACTTTTTTCACTGAATTCAAAATTGTATCCAGTATATGTGGATTCAGACACTGTACCTGACTCTGCTTCATACATTTTGAAGATTTTAAGTCAGATCCTGATAAAAAAAAAAAAAAAAAAAAAAAAAAAAATGTTCAATATGCACTAAATTAGTTCTATCTTACAGAATTCACAAGAAAGTAACAATGATTTAAAATTATCAAAGCTTTTGTAAAATAAAGTGAAATAAAAGAGAGCATCTTATCATAAAACACAGAGTGTGTGTGTGTGTGTGTGTGTGTGTGTGTGTGTGTGTGTGTATATATATATATATATTGGATCGGATTTCCTACATTTTTCAACAGATTTCAACAAAACCTAACAGGACTATGCAAAATTACCTTGCGGTGGTTCTGACAGCACCCATGAATTCAATTTGAAAACACGATTCTGTTGCCAGAATGAAAGGGGGACAACTCATATCGAGTTATACTTATTATAAAACCCAGGTTGTGTGTGTGTGTGTGTGTGTGTGTGTGTGTGTGTGTGTGTGTGTGTGCCTGTCCGTTTATATATTGGATCAGATTTCAAACATTTTTTTAACAGATTTCAACAAAACTACACTTTTTTTTGGCAGGTAGTGTTTCTTAATATCTTGCACACTTTCTTTATTTTTACATTCAGAATGCTTTAAAAATTCCATTTACAAGACAATTGTTTATAATAAAATTCTATTCAATCAGTAGACTCATAACGATTGAAAACAATGTTTTTGATTGGGTTTGACCAATTCGTAAAAAAAAAAACCCAAAAAAACAAAGAAAAAAAAACTAATTAAGACATGCATGTCCGTCAACCTTAAACAATAATCTTTGTCAATTTTATTTTTCAGTCTTTATGATGGTCGATACTTATCTATCTCTTACTGTTACAACCCCGGGCAACGCCGGGCTCTACTGCTAGTCATCAATAAAAATAATACTGTGTATCAATCAGGCATTTGCAAACAGATAAGCTTAGGTAACTAATAAAAACAAAAAACACAACACCAAAGTTTTAAATTCATTTTAAAAATAAAAAATCTTTCTTGAAGCTTTATTTTAGTTTTAATTCCAAGCTAATAGATTAAATTGAATATTTCCAATAAGCATAATGATTTTCTGTATTTTGAAGTGACACTGAGGCCATGAGGTGGTTAAACGTTGATTCTGAGCATAGAATGGAATATAGGCCGAGAGTGAAAGGAGACATTTGCCTTGGTGAAAATGGGACCATCTGATTTCTTCTCTCCTAAAGTTTATTTTTATCTTTCAAGAGTTTGACATGCAGATGAAAACAGACTTGGGGAACAATCTTATCTCTTCCCTGAGAATTTAGGCAAACAAATATTTTCACAGACAAAAACAAACTGGGAAATGAAAACAGCAAATCTGTTGTGAGGGTTGAAGTTATGAAAATCAATCCTGTTGTCACGTGATCCGGTTTATATTTTCACTGCAAAGAGATAAGTCCAGGAAAATAGAAAAGAATCAGAGAATTAAAACTTATAACTAAAATAAAACCCTGCCCTTTTGCCTACATGCTTTAAAAATTAGATTTGTCACAAAGACAGTTATGCCTACCTGCCCTGGAAAGTCGGCTGAGGTTGAATGCTAAGAGGGTACAAAGAAGAGGGAGGATTTAACACCACCTGTGTGGAATGACGGTGGAAGATGTGAAGTGAAGCAGGTGGGAGTTTGTAGGTGTTCTGAAAGCAAAGGAAGTATTTGTCGCAGATTACTTCCACAACACAAAGAAAAATCATTGTAAGTACAGACTCGAATATCGGGGGCAGAAAGAAATGCTGAAAACTCGATTCACTGGTACTATCTCAAATCATAATGCGTGTAACCAGTCAGAAAAAATAACTCACTCTCTAACAACCTATTTTTTTAATTCGTCAACAGCTGGGATAGGATGCTCCGTAATTTGCATATCAAAATACTTTTATAGCGACTCCTGCGACAGACTTGTTTTTTTTGTCACTTTTTACGTCATAGAATACACGCGACGCGCTGTCACTTGGTTTGACGAGGTAAGTCGCCGTTTGCTTCGCTATAAGATTTTTCCTGACTACTTTTTGGTAATTTTTCTTTGGCAGATCGCACACAAAACAAACTTTTTTCCGGGGTACCCGATTATCTCTTTCACTACACTCTCCCCTGTCACACAAGTGACACTCATAGGCAGGCCTCTTTATTCTTAAGCTGATCTGGAGGGGGGCGACTGTTGGAGGAGATTGGGTGTTATGTTCTGAGGATTCTTCTGGTCTGACAACCTCATGCACAGAGTCTTCGCCATCTGAAGAGGTGCTAGCCCTACCTCTGATGGTAATTATTTGTTCACTTTCTGAGTACTCACTGCTAGTGTCACTTGTTGACGTATCTGTACCTACATAGTGACGCAAGTCCTTTATGTGTCTTGGTATGCCATGAACCAGCACAGAGCACAAGTTACTTAGTCCAGTGACATGCCCCACCCGGTACCGAGTTGTACACCGGCTATGTGGAGCTTTTACCCACACGCGATCGCCCAAGTCATACAGCGCACATTCTTTTATCCATTCAGTTGAACGCGTTGCATCATTGCCTTAGAGCCGGACTTTGTACTGATAAATCATGTTGGCTGGCACAGTTGAGGGCGATACATTATCGTCTCTCAGAGTAACATTGTACCAATACACCGCCTCCATTATGGAACACTGCTTCCTAGCAGCGATTCTTTTGATGCTCCGATGACATCGCTCAATTATGCCATTTCCTGATGGGACATACGCGCAGCAAAATCTGAGGTGTACTCCCCACAAATCCACAAAATCTTTGAATAGTCCACTGCAGAATGCAGTGTCGTCAGTGAGGAGTTCCGTCGGAGGTCCACGTTCAAAGAACAATGACCCCAAGTGGTCAATGACGCTTGCGGAATCCTGTCGACGCAGACGTCGCCAAATAGTGAACCAGGTTGGGCCACAGTCAATCAGGGTTAAATAGTGATGTCCGTTATAATGGGTAATGTCCATTCCAACACGGTGTCACACCTTGCTCACACTCACTTGTCCTTTTTGCCATTGCACAGGTGCTGGGTCGATGGACTGACACTCCTTGCATTCTCTGACCACAGCCCTGACAGCAGCTTTGGATACGGAGGGATAAATCTGCCTCACGAAATATAGGGTCCGTTTTACACTGGGATGTCCGCTTTGGCAATGCACAGATTTTAGTAACCGAGTTATGGTTGCTCGCTGATGTTATACAGACATGTCCTACCAGCTCTACCTCTTTCTTAATAGCGTCAAGCCATTTTTGGGGTACCCTTGTTAAAGTATCAGCCTTGTTCTGATGTGATCTGACCAGCTGTATATCTATGGATAAGTGGTATTCACTTACCAACTTTCCCAGTGTGTCTAGCCACCTTCGAATGAGCATCTCGCTCGTATCCTGGCCTTCCCCGTAAGAGCGTCTGCTATCTACTTATACATGCATGCGGAATCCGTGAATAAATGCAACACCTTTGCATTCCATTGAAGGGCTGCGGTAACTCCCCTGATAACGGCGTCTAATTCTGACAGGTTGATATGTTGCGTATCCTTCTCGGGACGCAACCAACACGCATCTTCCACGACAGTTTCACCTACTTCAAGAGACACTCCTGTTGCAAGGGAGCTCACGTCAACCCAGACGTTAAATTCACATCCGTCTACGCACCATTTACCACGTACGGGGTCATCTTGATGCACCCTAGTAATGACTTCCACTATCATGTGTCTGAAGGGAGCATCATTTGTTGTCATCCCAGCCGGAAGTGACAGCAGTCACCCTACGTTTAATAAATGCAGTTGCAATGCGGATCCACCCGCCCACGGGAAAATGTCCCATCAGCTTTCCACATAACAAAACACGCTGCGTCGTGTCATGTGTCTGGGTATGTCCGGGAGCTTGCTTCCACGTTTCCAGTAAAGCATGTTGTGCTCCCCCCAGACCTGCACATGAGCACCATCCTCCAGTTGTTCTGGGTTCTTACATTCGAGCCCAAAGTCAGGAAGATGCTTTCTCACCTGTGCAGCGAGTACTATGATTTCGTTGATGTAGATGTTTTCCATGCAAACTGACGAATTGTCTCATCATGGCCGGCGCTACATTGAGTCCGAGTCCCATTCGGGTTAAGCAGTATCCCGTCCCATTAAGGATCACTGTCTAAAATGGCCACAGTGACCGGTACACGCGTACCTGCAAGTAGGCCTTTCGAAGGTCAATCACAGAGACATTAGATCCCTTCATTCGCCATTCTCTCAATTTTTGTGCACACACATCAGCATGAGCTGTGTATGTGTCTACATGTTCGTTCAGTTCTCTATAATCTAGTACAGGGCACACCTATCCCTTGTTCTTTTGTACCACGGCCATCAACGGGATGAGGCCTCTTGGAGGACCAAGCTCTTCCTCGGGATACGGAGTCAGCCATCCATTGTCCAGCCACACTTGCAATTCGTGCTGGTATTCTTCCTTGACGCGTTCGGGCACCGAATATTCTGACACTCGGTTCTGGAGCTTTTCTGGTGGGTCATTTTCCAACCATTTCCAAAATGCTGCCCATGTCTTCATCCTTTGGTCGAACTCTGTGCTAAAGTCGGGTTCGTTGATCTTCAAAGTAGCACAGATGGGAGGATCAGAAAACTTGACTTCGCCCGCCTCTATAATGCGTACGCCGCCCAGCTCCTTAATAATGTCCATCCCAAGGAGCATATCGAAACCTAATAACACACTGTCCATGACCAACACACTGACTGTGACACCGTTGTTGATACCGAGTTTGATGTTTCCAACTCCCCGGCTTCTGAGAGCTTTTCCATCAGCCGTTAGTACGTCCATCTTTTGTCTGCTCCACTGTCGACAAATCGAACCGTTCGTGATTGACCAAGAGCAGCCCGAATCTATTAAAGCGGTACACGTTATTCCATTGATGTGCACCTTAATCACAGGGAGCGCCTCTTTCCTGCTCAGTGCAGGGGAAGAGACCGGCGCTGACGTCCCCCACCCATTCCATTTCCCCGGACACTTTGACGCAATATGACCTACTTTATGA